TTACACATATCGGTGGGTTTCAGCACCCAATATGAATGTTAAGGGAAGTTATTTGTTCTGCCCCAAACACCACACCACAATGTGCTGATCTCACATCTTCATTGACTTAAAGCTTTGGTGTTTGGTGAAACCTACATAAGTTTTCTTTGAGATAACTACAAGAGTGTAACTAAAGACTATAAAGTCTATTGTCCTTAGATCTTCATCCCCTCCTTTCCTTGTCCAGGACCATACTATAAAAATGCACTAGTTTAACTAGATTAACTAAATCTATTTTAAAATCTAGTTAAACCGGTGCAAACACCTAGACGTATACACATTTAAGCTAAACTGATTAAGCAACTTGTTTAAATTGGTAACTCTTAAAATTGGTCTCTTTAAATTAGGGGATTCCATTAGTTTAAATCAGATATATTTTTAAAAATATATTTAGTTAGTATAACTGGTGTGTTTTCCTCCCTTCTAATTAATAGAAAGGATTCACACTGGAGTCTAACATACCATAGTTTAAGTTAAGACTCAGAGAGCTTGGCAGAAAATAAGGTTTCATTTTTGGCAGAGACACACGCTTCTGTTTTATGCGACTAATACCAAAGAGAAAGTCCATCATGATTATAGTCCATTTTTTCCATTACCACACACTTGCTATATGTAAGGAGTCTACAGATCCAAGTTCCACAGAGAATGCTTTTGTTACTGCAGAACAATTCTATTTTATAGTTGAGCAGTAAGAGGAGAGGATCTCTGCCAAAGTTTTAAAATCACCTATATAAAATGCAAAGACCTGGATGCAGAGTTAAACACCTCTTACTTATCACAAACACATGTGATTCTCATTTCTTTCGCTGCATAGTATGCAATGTTAGACTATCTTTTAATCCTAGATGTATTTGATATTCACGGGAAGAGCAAATCATGTGCTGAAGTTTGCTGAAGGCCTTTGATTTTGGCATAAGCTACCTTTAAGTGCCCTTTTCTCCTTTAATTATGGTCTAAATTAGATGAGACTTTCAGTACATTGGCCTTTCTGAAAAAATACTTTATATCACGGAGCCTGGCAAAACACACAGGACAGGGTCAGACACATATACAAAAAAAGAATACAGAAAGGAGAACAGAAGGCATTCTAAAGCCTAACCTACAGAAGTGTACTGTGCCAAATACCATTTGTTCCAGCTAAAACACATCCACACACAAAAGCAATTCACACAGTTTAAAAATGTGTTAGATGCCATTTGGGGTAGACTAAACTTCAGCAGGGCTAAATACCGTTTCACTCTGAAGTATTTCAGTGCTAGTGTACATACACACTGGCGGAACAGTTCATCTAGTCCTCCTACTGCTGTCCCACAGTGCATCTGTGGCCTTTCAAAATCTCCCAGAATGCCACTAGCGTTACTTGTGGAACAGTGCTAGCATGAACACAGGGCAAACCTTCAAGTCTCCTTAACACAATTCAACATGCGTAAGAGTGTGCCTCTCTGGAGTGCCCCCTGCTGGTTATAGGTAGCTCTGCAGTGTCCTGCCTTAGCTTCCCCTTCTGCTTAGGGTCTATTAAAAAGCCCACACCATCCAGATACTCAAAACAAACCCCATTTCTGGCAACCAATTTATTAAAACCTGCACAAAGTCTTTCAAAACCTCCAGTCTTCCCACAATTTCAAACCGGGCCCTGTCTTCCTGCTCTCCCAGTGTTTCTTGCCTGGAGTTTGACATTCTCTGCATTCTCCACAGATCTCCTTCTTGCTCGTGTCTTTACCCCTCTGACTCAGGGCCCTGGAGGAGCATTCTTACTCCCTGCAATATCAGGCCCAAATGGGTCACCTGACCCAATAATTGATGAGGAGGTGTCAATACCAAGAGAGGGAAAATTGCTTTTGTAGTGAGCCAGCCACTCCGAGTCCCAATTCAAGCCCAAATTAATGGTGTTAATTTTGCAAATGAATTGTAGCTCTGCAGTTTCTCTTTGAAGTCTGTTTTTGAAGTTTTTTTATTGAAGGATGGCTACTTTTAAATCGGTTATTGAATGTCCAGGGAGACTGAAGTGTTCTCCTACTGGCTTTTGTATGTTACCATTCCTGATGTCTGATTTGTGTCCATTTATTCTTTTACATAGAGACTGTCTGGTTTGGCCAATGTACATGGCAGAGGGGCATTGCTGGCACATGAGATGCCACATTTTTTCCACCCTTTTGTCAGGGAGGCCATGGCTGAGCAAGACATCCCAAGTCTTCATCCAATTTCTTTGTAGCAGCCTCTTTGGTTTGATGCGTATGATCGCAGATAACTAAAATCACCTACTGCTTCTACAGCTTAACTGTTAATCGTGATGTCTGCTTGCAGTCTGTTGTTACTGATTGTGTCAATGTATATGCATTTCATTTTTGCCACACATTCAGGAATAGTCCACATTCCTCACTAACAGTTTTTACAGACTCCAGCATTTGTTGTATTGCATCGATGATTGCAGTAAAGAGTGTCATATCATCAGCATATCTGAGGTTGGTTAAGAAGTGTCCACCAATGGAAATCCAGAGCTTGTATCTTAATAAATTTTCCATAAATGTTGAAAAGACTTGGGGACAGAATGCACACTTTTCTCAAACCCAGCAAAAAACCACTCACCATCACTCACTTCTGTTTCCACTGTGGTCTGTTATTGACAGTAGAGATTGAACTCATAAGATGCTCTGCATATCTGCCAGTATCCTCCACAGATGGTCATGTCAAACACTTGGAAGTAGTCAGTGAAACACAATCAGTGGGTGATTTATACTCACTGCATTTTTCAACTATATGACAGATATTTACGATTTGATCACGTGTCTTGTCCGTCTCTGACACTAGCTTGTTGTGGTGGTAGTTCTGCTTCATTAAATCCTGAATTGTGTAGAGTGGCATTTTATTTGCATTCGATATCAGGGAGCTGGTATGATAATTGCTGCACTCTGTTATACCCACTTGTTTGGCAAGGGCAAAGATATTCCCTTTGTCCAATGGTCTGGCCAATTTCTAGTCATCCATATGTCACAGGAAATTTTCCACGAGATCAATACCATGGTCACCAATCACTTTTGGCAATCCTGCTAGTGCTTTATGTACCCCTAGTGCTTTCCCAAGCTTCATTTTCATAGCAGCATACCCCATTTTCTCTTACAGGATAGATGGCTCTGGCTCTGTACTCTTTTCTGTAATCCTGTATCATAAATGGCTGTGATGAGGCATGCAGATTATTGTGCCAATCTCTTTCTGCATTTGTTATCACCTTCAGTAAGAACTCTGACTTCATGGTCTTTTTTTATGCTTGGTTGCAGGGAACACATTTTTAGTAAGAAGTCTGACCACTGTGAACGTATCTTCTGTATTATTACTCTCTATAATTTCAAGTTCCTTGAATTTTGCCCTGATGCATTCATTCGTCTTGTCTAGTCTGCTTTTGGATCTGTCTGCTCAATGTCTTGTATTCTCTCCAACATTCTTTAGTCTCCAAGCCATTCTCTTTCACTCTGCATTGCTTTTTTGACAGCTCAAAACACCTTCTCTGTTAACCCTGGTGCAGTCCAACCCTGACTTTTCAAAATGTGTGCTTTGGTAGCTTTGAGCATGATAGTTTTCATTTTATTCCAAAGTTCATTCACATTGTTCTCCTCTTTCACTTATGAAAATGACTCAATCTTGATCTGTACAGAAGTCATGTAGTTTTTGCTGATTTTTGACAGGTCCAGATGTTGTGGACCTGCTGAACATCTTATCTTTTTAAGTTGTAGTTTTAGGGCTTCAGGATAATAGTTGATAACCTAACCTGCAGTCTGAACTTGGGAAAGTGTTTATTCATTGAACACAATCTCCAGTATCCCTGTATCATTACATAGTCCATTTGGTTATTGGTCATGCTGTCAGATGACCTCCATGTAAATATACATCTAAGATGTTGGGTAAGATTGTGTTTGTAATGACCACATGATTAGAGCAGCAGAATTCAACTAAACACCTTTTTCTCTCATTTTGTAAATCCAGACCATTGTTTCCCATTACTTCTTTTGAGTGCTTGCAACTCCAACTTTCAGGTTCAGGTCTCCAATTACGTGGTGTTTTAATGAGTCTTTCTTCAGACTGTTCATAGAACTCAACTGTGGTGGCTTGAGCTGCTTTCACAGAGGCATAAACCTGTATGATCTATTTATTAATTAGGTTTCTTGAAGTGAATCATAATGATTCTATCTCTGATTATATCCAAGTACACACTTTGATCTTTCCTTGGATAAGATACACACAATCCTGTTTTTTCCTCATGGTCTTGGATCCTGAGTAGTACACCACATACCCACCCATTTCCATGAAACGAACCCTGCCATTCCATCACAGCTTTGAGATTCCACATACATCGATCTTATTTATTTCCAATTCGTTGGTCACAAGGACAACCTTCCCTTCACACATACTCCTCACATTCCATGTTCTTACTGTGATGATTCATTTATGAAGGTTCAGATAATTCTTTTCCTTGGTGCAATTATCAGGCACCGTACTTCTCAAAGGATTTGGTGCAGCACCATTATAACTGCAACCACTTCTTTTACTGGCTGGAACTTCCTCCCCCATATAATTTGTTACACCTCCAGGTCTGTGGGGTGGGGTGATCTCACCGTCCAGCACCACACGTGGATCATGCTAACTTTGTTCTTCCATGATAGTTCCCATTGTAAAAAGTACAGAGGGTGGTTTCCCGTTGCCATTGGTTAAACTGTGGTTTAACTCTTCTACCTTTCAGTGACATTTCCTCCACCTGGGATGCCACTACCGTCCTAAAATGCTCATTCATCCAAAGCCGTTGGCACTTCCTGAGGCTGTCAATCACAGGTGGTATCATCTATTGCCATTATAGTAGCAGGCTACTCTACAACCTGACCTGAAGGAACCTAAATATATAAGGTAATATCCTCAGCATAGACAACAACTGCTTATATAGAGTCCATGTCTCAAGAGCTTCCTTTCTTTACCTGATAGAATTCACCAGCTTGGCGTACATAACCAGCCACTTCCTTGTCAAGGGGATGGATCCTCCATATGAGTCTTTCAGCACTTTTGTATTCTTCCACTTTGCTCCATGGCACAGTAGGCAGAAAGCGTTCCGTCAGTGGAGCTGCTACTATGATATCAAGTTGCCCATTATATAACAGAACCTGGAAGAAGACGAAGCAGTCAATATTAAAGAAACCGTAAAGCTCACTTAAACAAAATTTAGCTCTGCAGTACTTTAAATTCAGTACATTAAGCCCTGGGTGGCCACATGAACCTCTGAAGTAGAGTAGTCTAAAATTTCAAAGACACAAACATGACTTAAAGCCATCTTTGCCTCCTACAACTGGAGCCCAGAAAGCTGCCTGTGCTTTCTGGGCTGCGCAGAATTTCAGCCCTGTTCTTTCTCTTTTTCCAGGAGGAGATCAACCACCAACATCAACATTGCAGTACCCATACTATGCCCAAACTGGTGTCAAAAAGACCTGAGAAATCCAGATATTGCAAGATTTGTTTTCGCACAACTGTCTCAAAAGTCTTCCAAGAGTCAATCAAAACTGAAGGCATATTGATAGCATGTTATTTGACTATAAATATTTATATCTTCTATATGTGCATTTTGTATTTTAAATTACTGAAAGCCAATGCAAAAGCTCAATCTATGACTGAAGTTTAGAAAAGTAGACAGTCCAAGAAAGCCAGGAATTAAGATCTCATTTAACATTCTCAAAACTGTAGTTGAATCAGGACTTTAATAAAAATCCTACCAGCCACTATAACTCACTTCTGTGGAAGCAACAAAGCGGTAATAGTGATCAAGAATGACCACATCAGACATTTGTCTGATGCACTTAACACCTCTGTTCAGGCAAAAAGGTATCATTTTCACAAGAATAGCAAAAAATGATTTGACTTCATATAATACAAAGTAAGGTACATAAATATAGTGGTATATAAATAAAATCAGGATGAGAACTTAGTTAAAAATATGTTTAGTCTAAGATTTAGTGTTTCCTTAAAAATACTGCTTACATAAAAAGTTTGACATATTAATAAATGCCATTAACTCTTTGACACTGGGCCTGAGCATATGCAGAAAGTGAATCATGATGGGAGCACTACTAACCACACAGCAACAAACTACACATAGGTAGGTGTTCAAGCCAGTGGATGTCTTCTGAGACTCTCTGATGGGGCAAAGTTTTTTTGGTGGGGGAGGTTGACACACACATGACAATATCCCAGGCAAACCTTATGGAATTAAATTAAACCTTATTTAATTACATTTAATACCTCTGTGGTCCATTGTATTGAAATGTAAATGTTTTTGTACCATTGTGGGACTTCTTTAGGAGAAGGAAGGATTAATGCAATCTCCGGGAGATAATGTGAACTTAAAAAGACTATGCTGAACAATGGTTGATCTTTTGGGAAAATACGTAAAGTGGAATTCCTAGGAAGTACTGGGGAGAACTGGATTGCAAACCTCCAGATACAAACAACTTTTGAAGCTTTGCTCTGAGGTGGGGGACCATTTGTCTGCTGATCACGGGTTATCAGAGGACAGTTCAATGACCTAATCTTGATTCTCCAGGGACCAACAGACAAGAAAGGACTTTTGAAAAAATACCCTGAGTTTAAGCTGACTCAGAGCCTTCTTCCTGACCCAGCAAATCGACAGGACCTTTGGTCCATGGAGGGAAAGGTTGGAAGGACTTGGCCTACTGACACCCCATAGGACTGTGTGCTAGTTCTAAGCTGAGGCTGTTATGAACTTATGACCATAGAAGAGACCTCCTTTGTGGGGTCTGAAGGACTAACCACCTTCCAGAGCCCATGTCGGAATTGGGGTGACCTCAAGTAAGCTTCTGAGAATGCATGTGGGCTCTTTTATTGTTTTTAATGTTTTATCTACAACACTTTTACCCTAAGAATAAATAAGCTTGCACAGAAAGAGCTGTGTGGTAGCTTATAACTGTTGCAATTCTTCTGTTATTACTCTCTGAAGAGAAGGCAAGAGAAGCCTGCTTAGACACCCTGTGTTTTGTTGGCAATAATACAGTAAAGTCAGGGAACAGTTCAGGCTGGAGTCAGAAGGGAAAGAGATGCGTGTCTCCATCAAAGAAAGGTGATGGCCAAGGGAGCTGGAAGCCTGGAAATAGGTGCTCTTGCCGTACCATACAGGGGAATTAAGGTACAGTTGCTCTGAACTGTGACAGAGAGGTTCCAGGCTTTTTACTTTCCCACTTGCCAGAGTAAAGAAAATTGGTTGAATCCTCAAATTAAATGTGCACATTACTTTAGGAAAGGTGTATTATCCGCATTTAATAAAAAAAAAAAAAGTTTCCTCACTCCTTAGTAGGGTTTCTTTATAAATCCCATATTTAAGTAGTATTTACATTTTGTATCAATCAGCATCTAACAGCAGTCTGGTAGTGCTCAAACTAACAAAGACCTTTGTATGTCGAGCATATGAACACATTTCCTGTGTGCTATTTATTCCTTGTTACCAAAAATTTTGGTGAAGTTAAAAGCTTTTTTTATAAGGCTCATCCAAACTAGTTAAATAAAATAATTGCATTGTTTATATAAAGGAGCTTTGCCTCAAAGACCTTGATTCCTCATGGCCACTGCAAAATCTTCTGCAGCTGTTATATTAAACAGTATGGAAACAATTATATCTGTGTTGTGCTTCCGAGTATAGGCTAGAACACAGAACAGTATTATACAGACAAGATTATGCTTTAAACAACTCTGGTAAATCTTCTATAGAAATTCCACAAAAAGAGTATTTTAACACAGAAGTTACACACAGTCTAAACTAGCATTAACTTGTCCCATTGCTTGCTACTGACAAATCTACTTCTAGGAGAGAAATAAAGTTTATATAGCTTTATCTACATAAAAAAGCCAGCAAAATGAACTTTTGTAGTACAAATACCAAGTCTTTAGATTGAGTACAAATCATTACTTAAAATGACTAGAAGAATCACTGAGAAATGCCAAGTTACTCTATATAAAGAAATAACTTGCGAGAAAGGGAAGACTAATTGCTACTTTTATGTGTAGTCCCTAATATAGTAAGATTGCTTATGATTTTTTCCCCCAAGAGAAACACAATCTCTTTCTAATGTTACGGTGGAAACCAGATTAAAGAGCAATCAATACAAGTGATGCTGAGGCAAAACCACAGAGGAGAAAAACTTTTCTCTGTAACTAATGACACTTAATTCATAGGAGGTTATAGCTTGCTTTTTAAATGCTTGCTTTTTACCGCAATTTCACTCCTCTAAAACGTTATTATAATTTCTCCTTTTGCTCTTTCCTTATGTTTCTTGGAATTGGTTACCAGTGATTATTAGTCCCAGTAAATTGGGCCCGATTACACAAACAGGTACTAGGCTAGATAGTTAGGTGTTGAGCCACAGAAACTCCATCAGCTTCCCATATGAAAAATTCAGAAGACATTTTAATGGTGGTAGAGATATGCCAGATCCAACACTATGGCCCTGCCCCATCTCAGCCTTACAATTTTTCCTGCATCGCTAGCTGTTTAGGGCATATAACGTCTAGTGAGTTTGTCTTTGTAGAGAATGTTGAGAGTCCATTAAAGTCCTCCATGTGAAAGTCAGCTGTGAGGCAGACTGGCAAGAACTCAAGATAGTCTTCCATAGTTTACAGAAATAAAGGCTGATTGAAGACATGTTCAGATTAAGTACCTGGCATCAGTCAGAGTGCAATGTTAAATACATCTAGGAGTTTGGCTAGCTGAAGCAAGTGAGATTTATTCCAGACTTTTGCAGTAGAAACTTACTCTGTGGCCACAGAATCAAGGAAGAAATGTCTAGTCAAAGGCCCGTGATCCTCTCTTTAGAGGAAGAGAAAACTGTTTGGATCCCCTCACAAAGTTTTCCCCAAAGTTGTTCCATTGGTGGGTGTAGTAGAGAGGAAATGCAGCATTTGTCCTCACCCAAGCAGAAAAGTGAATGGTTTGGCTCCCAAACTACTGGAGGATCCAGTGTCACAATATTCAGATTTTTTTCTTAAAGCACCAGCTCCTGGAATCATGAGAATCACAGCATCCATTTAAAAAAGTTCCTAGCCTCATGTTTGCAAAGAAAAGCTTGAAAATGAATTTTAAAGGCTCAGACACAAGAGGCAAATAAAAAGAACGATGAGTTTATTTTGTTTTAGAAAGTCTCATGATTTTTAAACCAATCATGATATTTTGAATGCTTGATGGTGTACACCTTGGGGATCCACAGGAGCATGGGTGGCAGGTATAATAGGAGCCACGGCCGCGGGCCAGCCAGAGCCAGGGCTGCTCAGAGCCGGTGCTCGGGCCAGGGCTCAGGTCGGCCGGCCAGATGGGGCCGGCTCAGGACTGAGGCCAGCCCAGGGTTCCTCTGGCAGCGCGGGGTGGGGAATGGGGAGGGGAAAGGTGTCTCAGGCTATGTCTTCACTACCCGCCGATCCGGCGGGTAGCAATCGGTCTATCGGGGATCGACTTACCGCATCTAGTGAAGACGCGATAAAATCGATCCCTGATGGCTCTACCGTCGACTCCGGAAATCCACCGCGGCAAGAGGCGGTAGCGGAGTCGACGGCGGCGCGGCAGCGGTCGACTTGCCGCCATCCTCACAGCCAGGTAAGTCGACCTAAAATACGCCACTTCAGCTATGCTATTCACGTAGCTGAAGTTGCGTATCTTAGGTCAACCCCCCGCTGTAGTGTAGACCTAGCCTCAGGGTTCCAGCTGGCCTGGGGCTTCTCCAGTTGCAGTGGCCTCACGGCTCTGGCTGCAGGAGACGGGGCCTTATGCAGAAGCGGCGGGGCCATGGGTCTAGCCTCCCCGAAGGGGGGGGGGGGCCACCCACCGCCCATACACAGAAGGCTAGGATTATCCATTAAGGCTGTATTAACTTTGTACAGTGCTCTCCATAAAGTGCAGGACAGAGATTAGGGGAAGGGAGAGGGCCCTTGCCAGTATACATTTTTCACTTACTTTAAAAATGAGGGTGATAGAAAACCTTCACTGAGTGATTTTACCTTGAATAAAACGACAGACTAAATTTTAGACTGTAAAATTGCAGAAAATGTAATCTGTACCTTCCAACAATATACAGCTTTATCTTCTTTAAACATATGCAATGACATTTTAAAA